ACTATCTACACTATCTACACTAAAATAGTCATGTTAGTGTTCTTTTTACTTAAGATTTAGTTGGATCCAATGGTTTAAAGAAATCACATGATTCATTTGGCTATTTGATACAGATATGCTGTTTTTTTTTTTTTTAACTGATACTCACTTACTAAGAACAATGCTTCCAAGCCAAACAGCTAGTATTCCCCTATTTTTCCACTTCTACTATGCCTAAAATCAGTTAATTTAATAGTCACTTTCTTAACAATCTTTAGAAAATGTTATCTGGTAATATGGTGGACATATGTTAAGATCACTTGATTTTTATGCTATAAAGCTTTTTTGTCTTCTTGTTGTTGTTGGTTTTGGTGGTACTGGGGATTGAACCCACTGATTTTAACCTCTCAGCACATTCCCAGCCCTCTTTTAAATTTTGAGACAGAGTCTTGCTAAATTCCTTAGGGCCTTGCTAAGTTGCTGAGGCTGGCCTGGAACTTTGGGCCTCATGCCTCAGCAACCTGAGTTGTTGGAACTACAGGTGTGTACCATCACGCTTGTGTGTATCAGCAGTTTCTTTTTTGTTTTGTTTTTTGGTACTCGGGATTAAACCCAAGGGTACTTAACCACTGAGTACATCCCCAGCCCCCCACCCTTTTTTTTCTGATAGAGTGTCTCTCTAAGTTGCTGAGGTTGGCTTTGAACTTGGGATCCACTGGGATTACAGGCATGCACCACAGTGTGCTGGCAACAGTTTCTTGTAATAGCTGAATAGTATTTCATTGTCTAGATATGCCACTTTTTTTCATTTATTCACTAATTTGAATTGTTTCCAATTTGGGGTTAGGGATGTAGCTCAGTGGTAGAGCACTTGTCTAGCATGCATGAGACCCTGGGTTCCATCCCCAGCATAGAAACAAAAAATTACATGTGAATTGTTCTTAATTTTGGCAATTAGGCATAAAGCTACTATCAACATCCACTTGTAAGTCTTTGTACAGGTGTTTGTTTTCATTCCTCTTTTGTACATATATCTAGAATGGAATTGCTCAGTTGTTACCAAAAGCTCAGTCCTTGTCCCCAGTGCCAGTTCATGTCAATTTAATGAGGACAGGATTTTGAGTAAAAGGAAAAAGTCTTATTGCTTTGCTAGCAAAGGAGAAACACAGGGGACTCTAGTCCCAGAGGCTGTGGATCTACCTATCAGGGAAAACAGAGGGCTTTTAAAGAAGCTATTCAAAGGCTACATTTCAGGGGTGCCCTGGCCAAGGGGTCCCAGATGCAGCCTGATGGTGTGTTGAAATTCACTTGTTAGTTTGGGAGATAGTTACTTCCTAGTTCTTCTGGTGACATCTTTCTGTGGAGAACAGATAACTCAAGGTAATCTTATTTCCCCACCTCTAGGTTAGAGAAGGGGAGAGGGAGAAGAGGAAATGGAAAACAAACAAACAAATAAACATGTCCCTTTAAAATAAGCAGCGGGCTGGGGTTGTGGCTCAGAGGTAGAGCGCTCACCTACCATGCTTGAGGCACTGGGTTCGATTCTCAGCACCACATAAAAATAAAATAAAGATATTGCTATAATTAAAAATAAACATTTTAAAAAATAAAATAAAATAAGCAGCAAGGGCTATATTCAAAAGACAGAAGTGCCAAGAACATGCATTGGAGAAAAGATAGCCTCTTCAACAAATGGTGCTGGGAAAACTGGAAGTACATTTGCAACAAAATGAGATTAAACCCCCATCTCTCACCATGCACAAAACTCAACTCAAAATGGATCAAGGATTTAGGAATACAATCAGAGACCCTGCATCTAATAGAAGAAAAAGTAGGCCCTATTCTCCATCATGTGGGATTAGGCCCCAACTTCCTTAATAAGACTCCTGTGGCACAAGAATTAAAATCAAGAATCAATAAATGGGATGGAATCGAAATAAAAAACTTCTTCTCAACAAAAGAAACAATCTGTGAGATGAATAGAGAGCCTACATCTCGGGAGCAAATCTTTACCCCTCACATACATCAGATAGTGCACTAATCACTAGGGTATATAAAGAACTCAAAAAGCTAAACATCAAAAGATAATCCAATCAATAAATGGGCCAAGAACCTGAAGAGACACTTCTCAGAAGATGATGTACAATCAGTCAACAAATACATGAAACACTGATGATCATCACTAGCAATTAGAGAAATGCAAATCAAAACTACTAAGATTTCATCTCACTCCATTCAGAATGGCAGCTATTAAGAATACAAACAACCGTAAGTGTTGGCGAGGATGTGGGGACAATGGTACATTCATACACTGTTGGTGGGACTGCAAATTGTGCAGCCAATATGGAAAGCAGTATGAATATTTCTTGGAAAATTGGGAATGGAACCACCATTTGATCTAGCTATGCCACTCCTTGTTCTATACCTAAAGGACTTAAAAACAGCGTACTATAGGGACACAGCCACATCAATGTTTATAGCAGCACAATTCACAATAGCAAAACTGTGGAACCAACCTAGATGCCCTTCAATAGGTGAACGGATTAAAAAATGTGGCATATATACACAATGGAATATTACTCAGCAATAAAAGAATAAAATCATGGCATTTGCAGGTAAATGGATGGAGTTAGAGAAGATAATGTTAAGTGAAGTTAGCCAAATTTAAAAAAGGTAAAGTGGACCACTGTTACAGTATAAGTGTATGCTTAAATTTATAAGAAATTGCCAGTATGTATATAGGTGACTCTATGATCAGTGTGATTCTGCAATCTTTACAATTAGAAAAATGAGAAATTATACCCCAATGATTCAAACGTATGAATTGCCAAGATCATTGTAATATCATGAATAGCTAATAAAAATAAATAATAAAAAAAGAAATTGCCAAATTATTTTCCAAAGTTGTTGTGTCATTCTGCATTTCTGCCAGCAATGTCTAATCATTCCAGTTGCTCCACATACTTATTATAGTCAGACTTCTTAATTTCAGCCATTCTAGTGGAAGTGTAATAGTTTCTTACTGTAAAGATTTCCCTAATGAGTCAATATTGGTCCAAAGAGAGTTTTCATCTTAAATCCATGGTTCATAGTTTTTGTCACTGTCCCAGTAATGTCCTTTATATGCTTTTCTTTTCCCTAAATTCAATTCAGTATCACACATTGCATTTAGTTGTCATGTTTTATTTTAAACTGAGTTTAAAGTGAGTAGGGAAAATTTTAGTTTTGTCGGTCTTTCACCTCAACTTAAAAAAAAATAGGCCTATTGTTTTATAGAATGCCTCTCCATTTAGATTTATCTGATATTTCCTTATGAATAAATTTTCTGAATGAATTTTTGGCCGGAATACTACAAAAATTATGTTCTGTTCATCAGAGGGGTTTTGTATCAAGGAGCTCACTAAATGAATATTAATGATGACTCTATTTGCTGCTCAAGAATTTTTTGCCTATCTGGTGTTGCAAAGAATTCTCGAATTTTCATCCAGAAACTTCATAGTTTGGGCTTTTAGATTTAGGTCTATGATCCATTTAGAAAAAGGTTTTGTATATGAGATGAAATAGAGATTGATGTTAAATTTTTTTCAACTTTTACCTTGTTATTTCTGCTTTTTATTATTCTACTTTCTTTGAAATTTGATATACTCCTTTTTTTCTAGCTTCTTAAAGTGAAAAATTACATAAAATAATTGCAGGTCTTTCTTGATTTTTATGTAAGCATTTAAAGGTATAGTGTCTTTTATTTCCTATCCTCAGAAGTCATAGAGCCTTACTTCTGATCTCCTTCATTCACATACATACAAAGGATATTCAAGAAGAGTGAATTATAATTACTCTACCTTTTTTAAAGAAGTAGTTATTTTTTAGTTGTAGTGGGACACAATACCTTTATTTTATTCATTTATTTTTATGTGGTGCTGAGGATCAAACCCAGGGCTTCACAAATGCTAGGCAAGTGCTCTATAGCTGAACCACAATCCCAGCCACATGACTCTACCTTTTGAGGTGGGAGAAGTGTTAAAGAAATTTCAGACATGTGGTATTTTGTTTTGTTTTTTTCTGTTACTGGTGAATTGAATGCATGAGCACTCTACTATTCAATGTTTTAAAACTACCAAACCTTCCAAATATCATGTCCCTTTCAGTTTCTGCCTGCTTTTGGTCATTCTTTAGTACCTTCAAATGTAGTTAGGTTTTAATCTAGAATTTCTATTATTATCTGGTAGTCCAGCACAAACTATTTTATCACTTCCAGATGTCAGAACCCTTCCCTTTCTTTTTATTCCCCATAGCACTCATCACATTTAATATATGATATAACTTATTAATTTGATTTATTTTGTATGCCTTCCCACAGGTCTCCATTAAATTAGGGATTGTTGTCTTTTTTGCTAAAGGACTAAGCAAATATTTGTTAGAGCAGGGCACAGTGATGCATACATGTAACCCCAGCAACTCAGGAGGCTAAGTCAGAAGGATCTTGAATTCAGGCCCAGCTTGGTCAACATAGATACCATCTCAAATACAAACAGAAACCCCCAAGTATTTGTTGAATTAATGATCTCTACTTCTTCAAAATAGCTATATATAAATAAAAGACTATTCATGATAAAAGAGGAGGTAAAAATTTTAGAGCCTTGTTCTTTTAGCACAGTTGTACTGGTAGGCTGGCATTTCTGAGGTTCACTTACAAGACAGGACTTAGGAATTTTGACATTTTATTTGTCTTTTTGCTTATTGTGTGAATCAATTTAGCAGCCTACATAGGCTGGGTACAGGTCAAATGAAATTGCAGATGAAGATACTCTGTGAAATTAGAGCACTATGAGATTATAAAACTATATAAGTTAATTATATGCATTTGCATCCATTAGGCTGACTTTTTCAGATTTCATTTTGAGAGTATATTTATATATGTATGTATTTTTAAGGGAAGAATATTTTGAATTATCAAAATAATAAGAGAGTCACTTTATTTGTAATTAAGTTCTTGTTAATGTTTTGTCTGACTTCTTTTTTAGGAACTGAAGAGGTTTGAGAACTTTGTAAAATCCTGTCCTCCTTTTGATATAGTCATTGATGGCCTCAATGTTGCCAAAATGTTTCCTAAAGCTCGTGAATCTCAAGTTGTAAGTACAAGTTTTTATTTTGTTTTTCTCCATCTCCAGAAATATTTTTTGCACCTATTTGTGATCTTCAAGTAAATGATTCAAAGGCCAAAAGTAAGGAGGAGTTATTGACGATATTCTGTGGTTCAGACAAGCTCAGGGAACATGTATAAGCCAATGTAATAAGCATTATGGAGTGAGTGAGATAGAGAAATGAACTATGTAAGCATCTACAAGACAAATGTGACATAAAAAAAAAAAAAAAATCCAGTTCCTCTCCAGGAAAATTTCCTTTGAGCTTTTATTACCATTTAAATTCCTGTACTATTTTATACTTCAATTCAAATCATGCCTTTTTAAATACATTGATAAGTTCAGTGTTTAGTAAGTTGTCAAGAACTTACAACTTAATATAGGAAGAAAAGGATAAAAGAGTAAAAAGAACTAGAGCAAACCATTTTGTAATAATAGATTTTATTTTGTATTCTTCATAAGATAAGATCATTATTAATACTTTAAATAACAGAATAATCTGATTTGTAAGCCTTTTTTTAATGAACTTCAGTACATGTGGAAGACTAATATACCATATACCACATGCCATCCAGTTTTTTTTTTTTTGAAAGAGAGAGAGACAGAGACAGAGACAGAGAGAGAGAGAGAGAATTTTTTTTTAATATTTATTTTTTAGTTTTCGGCGGACACAACATCTTTGTTTGTATGTGGTGCTGAGGATCGAACCCGGGCCGCACGCATGCCAGGCGAGCGCGCTACCGCTTGAGCCACATCCCCAGCCCATCCAGTTTTAATAATATATATAAGTTTTCTTTTATAAGACTAAAAAACATCAATAATCAGTGGCCTCTCATATAAAGCCTTATTTTTTAGACTTTTTTAAAGGTTTGAGCCAACAAAGAAGTTGCCATAGGAGCTAAAAGTAAATGTTAGAGGGGAAGAGTTAAAGGATTGAAATGAAGCAATGTTTTTGCTATTATAAGAAATCATAAATTGGTGCAGCCAATTTGGAAAGCAGTATGAAGATTCCTTGGGAAAACTGGGAATGAAACCACCATTTGACCCAGCTATTCCTCTTCTCCGACTATACCCAAAGGACCTAAAAACAGCATATTACAGGGACACAGCCACATCAATGTTTATAGCAGCACAATTCACAATAGCTAAACTGTGGAGCCAACCTAGATGTCCTTCAGTGGAGAATGGATTAAAAAAATGTGGCATTTATACACAATGGAATATTACTCAGAAATAAAAAATAATAAGATCATGGCATTTTCAGGGAAATGGATGACATTAGAGCAGATTATGTTAAGTGTTAGCCAATCCCCAAAAAACAAATGCCAAATGTCTTCTCTGATATAAGGGGGGTGACTCAAAACAGGGTTGGGAGGGAGAGCAAGGGAATAGGGGTGGGAGGGAAAGGAAGGGAGAAGGGGAATAGCATGGATGGTGAAATATACAAAATTATACAAAATACATGTATGAAGATGTGAATTTGGTGTCAACATACCTTATATATAATCAGAGATATGATAAATTATTATATAATAGTGCATTAAGAATTGTAATGCAAAATTAATAAATAAAATCATTTAAAAAAAGAAATCATAAAGAGATTTTTATGCTTTAATTTTTTGGAGTGGCAATATTAGTTTTTTTTAGAATAATTTGATGAGGGGATAAAGGGTTGTATGTTTATTTTACTTTTTGATGTTTACTTAGTATATTTTATAAATTTAGCCTCGTATAATCATGTAATTTTGCTCTTGCTTTTGACTAACTTCTTTTTTTGGAAATGTCATTGTTTTTACAAGGCATGTATTATTCTTCTTTCTAGTTGTTCTGAATGTGTTTATTTAGTTTTCAGGATTTAAAATTGATATTACTATAAATGGATTTAAAGTAACTAGAAAATTTTATTAATTTTCCTCTCATTAATTATACCTAGAATTTATCATCACCAGGTTATACTGAAACATCAGTTTTTTTTACAGTTAAGTGATAGTATACATTATTTCTCTTAGTTTTTCAAATACTTAACTGTAAGAATTTCCTTTCCTGTCCTCTCTTCAGAGTATCTAGCACCAACCTGTCACTGACAAATTAGAAAATAAGTGAAGACTGTTATATGTTTTAAAATTTTAAAATATTATTACTCTTTTTAAAATTGAACTTCTGAAAAAAATAAGAAAATGAATATATATATTCCTTTAAATTTGTAAAATTTTCCAAATAGAGAGTAAAACTACACAAAGCTAGGGTCATCAGTCTCACATTGTTCACATTGGTGATTAAAAAAAAAAAAAAAGTCTTAAGAAATCAAAAGAGTGAGGAATTAAAAAAGAAAGACCATGTAACAGAGGTTAAGATCTGCCATTTTTGTATAACCTTTAGCTATACCTTCTCTACTCTCTTTGGTGCTACCCTATCATTTCTCTGTGGGTTACATCACATCCCTCTACTTGAAAATGATCACTATATTAGAATAAAATATCTAGAGAGAGCAGTCACTCGTTACTTAGGTTTGTTTTCTAAACATAGTATGTTCATAGGTTAAGCAGTCTTTCTATCATAAGGTAACTATTTTTTATCAATTTATAAATGCCTCAGCAGTATCTAATAAGAATGTCATGATTTTTCATAGCAGTGGTTACTTTAATTCATATTTTATAGACTAGAAAATTGAGGTTAATTTTGTATAATAAATCCTTAGAAAACAGTCATAATATCAAAATTAAATTGTAGAGAGCTCTTGGATTTTAGGCTTGTGGGTCTTAACATTGGCAATCTGTAGTTGAACTATATTATTTCTAAAAAAAAAAAATGCTTTTTCTCGGAGATGCTACTAGTTCAGTTTGGCTGTTTACACCCAGAAAAGCTTACAAATATGAACAAAGGATGATTTTGATTTACAGAAATATGTTTATATATATAAATTGGCATGAACATACTTTATATACAGAGATACGAAAAATTGTGCTCTATATGTGTAATAAGAATTGTAATGCATTACACTGTTATCATGTATTTAAAAATAATAATAATAATAAAATCAATTAAAAATTTCTGAAAAAAAAAGAAAAAAAATTATTTATTTTTATGTGGTGCTGAGGATTGAACTCAGTGCCTCACACATACTAGGCAAGTGCTCCACCACTGAGCCACAACTCCAACCTGTGCCTACACTCTTATGAGTATATACTTTTAAAATCCTTTATTTTAAAAAAAATCGGAAATTGAAAATATTTTTTCTATCTATGTATATAGGAGAGCCTTTGAGGCGATGCTATCACTAATGCAAACCAGAGAAGGAAAGATGAAATTCTCATTACTTTATGCTCATTCTGGAAAGTTCCCTTCTAATCTGTGAGAAATAGAGTTTACCTTTTGTTTGACTTTCAGCTTTGCACAAAGCACTAAAAATTAGCTTACCAGAGCCATATTGTAACCCAAATCAGACTAAGTTTTTTGGGAAAAGTAAAATATTGAAGATATGTAGTAGACATGTTGTAAGAGAAATATAGATATTTTGAAAGACTCTAGACTATTTGCGCAGAAAGGCAAAGAACAAAAGATCAACCAGTGAAATCATAGTCTGCTACTACTTTTGGCTTTACTCTTAAAAGAATTTAATGTTAGCAACAGTTTATGTGACAATTATTTATTATTACCTGCTCTTCAGAGCACTGTTACCTTGTGGCAGTGCACAGGTGTTAACAGCCTGGAAACCTCAGCTAAGAGACTCAGCTTTAGAGATAGCACCTAAATAAGGAAAGAGGGAATTTTTTTTCTTTTGAAGCTAGAGATTTATAAAAATAAATAATAAAGATATATTGTATTTCCCATGTGCCCATCTTTTTAAATTTTTTGCCTAAATCTTCTTGTAAGTCCATTTGTGACTTGATCTCATTCTTCACGTTATCACTTTTTGGGTTGTTATTTTTTCTGTTCCCACTTTTTCTGTTCATCCTTTAAATAGCATTCTAGTTCAGAAATTAAGAATGGCAATTCTGGAGACAGATCCTCTGTGTTTTAGTCTTTATTAAAACCTCTCTATGACATAATTTCTCATTCTTTTAAAAGGTGATAAGATAGTACCTTTCTCATAAGATGTTGTGAAGAATTGATGAGTTAATATGTGTAAGCACTTGACACATTATACTGTTGCAATTCTTGTAATAACCATTCAAATGAATTTCCCAAATGCAACAATAATTCTTGTATTTTGTAGACCCTTATCTGGTAGTTTAAAATATTCTCCTGTCATCTCATTCATGATAAAAGAATTAAAAGAAAATATAGACAGGCACAAAGGCACAAACCTGTAATCCCAGCTACTCAGCAGGCTGAAGCAGAATGATCACAAGTTTGAGGCCAACCTGGCTAATTTAGTGAGGGTTAGGCTCTGTCTCAAAATAGATAAAAAGGTAAAAAGGGCTGGAAATATAGCTCAGTGTGAGCTATATTTATATATAAGTATATATATTTATATATAAATATAGCCTAGCAAGTGTGAGACCCTGGATTCAATTTCCAGTACCACAAAGAAAAAAGATATATATTTCTGCCTTAATGTTAAACTCAGTGTAGATCAGATATACAAATAATAATTGAAAATTGAGGCCAGTACTACCAAAAGCATAAGAAAACATATAAATATGATGGTGTTGAGAAGTTACTTATTTATATATATGTGTGGGTCTTGCTGAGTTGCTTGGGATCTTGCTAATTTGCTTAGGCTGGCCTTGAATTCATGATCTTCCTGCCTCAGCCTTCCAACTCTCTGGGATTACAGGCATGCATTACTGTGCCCAGCCAAAAATTGTATTTTGTTCTAATTATAAAAGTAATATGTGTTTGATATAGAAAACTTGAGAGTCACAAAAAGAAAATCATATATAATGCTGTCATTCCACAAAAAGCATGATATTGATACGGATTGAACCCAGGGTTGCTTTAGCACTGGGTTACATTCCCAACTCTTTTTTCATATATATATATAT